GAAAGCTCTATTTTGAGGGAGATTGGATCCAGGATATATCTCTGATATCTGTTTTTTAAAAGCCTCTGAATTCTAAAACATGACAACCTGACACCATATGTTTCTGTACAGTCTAGATTTAATGTGAAGCTTAAGGATTGAATACAAATATATATTACCTGTAATTATTAAAGGGATCTCTTTTTTGTGAATTAGATAGTTGCATTTAGTTTATTTTAATCACTATAATATGTTTAGGTTTTCTTTCTTTCCTCTCAGTGCTGGTTTTTTTTAAAAAAAAATTCACCCATAAATACATTTTTAAAAAAGAGGTTTTATGAGTTTAATTTCTGGCTCATTTTTTTTTTCCTAGCATCAGTGTATGTGCAGAAAGGGTAAGGCACCATACAATACCATCCCTTTTTGTTGGTTCATTTCATCACTGGATACCTCAGGATATATTTTGAACTGTTAATAATGTATTAGATGGTTATATGATCCATCCCAGCAGGGAGCAACTACTGGCTGATCCTGTCTGGGTTCAGAAGATAAATGTGATCAGGCCTGGTTTGTTCTCATCTGGGAAAGCGCCAGAAAATTGCAGGAAAAGTAAAATATTGCCCTGACTGCAGGCAACACACTTCCTTCCTCTTTGTAAGACATTATGAGCTTGAGGGAGAGTTCACCTTTATAAAATGCAATCTGAGTTTTTGGAGTAGAATAGAGCTGTTAATGGAGTAGGGAAACCATCATGTGGGGCTTTCTCCCCATCTTGTCTTCCCTAAATCTAACTCCCTTTATGCTCTTTTTTTTAAAAAAATCTTCTACCCCTGCTTCTCTTTCTGAGAGAATACAATCTGGCTTAGATATGGTACTACTGAGACTGAGTTTGCCCCAGTGTAATTTGGTGATTTTCTCACATTTTGTGGGATAGAAGGAAATAAGACCTTTCTGTTCCTCAGAGAAATGGCTGAATTTCCATTCCTCCTTCAAAAAAGAAGGTAAGATCTTGATTTCACAATATCTGACAGAAGTAGGTCAGTCAGCCATCAAACTGTGACGCCTGAGGGAGATACTAACATGAAGCCATTTAGGAAATATCTCAGTGGCCTCATGATAGCTGGAAAAAAAAGAGTGCCCTTTCAAATTTTAAATATGTTAAGACCAAGGACAGAGGAGATTTGAGTAGTGATGGGGATTATTTAGCCAGAAGAGAAATTTCTCTTGAGGAGAACTTTATTCAGACCTCTTGGAAACATATAATAGGGGAGGGAGTACATTTCATGCAATAGATATCTAAAAGCATCATCTCAGGTGCCAGATGGTGCTTTGGGGAGAAATAGACTAATTTGCAACAACTCTACTCAACTCTATTTTGCACTGAACATTGGGCAGTACAACAGCATTTCCTTGTTGAACGCTTCTAACTGAATACCAAAGTGTGTTAATTATTCTCTTGAGTTGCAATTAAGTGAAGGAGGACTTCATTGTCTGGGCAGCCTGCCAAAGGATCCCTCACTTATGTTATTTTTCAAGGGAAACAGGAGTATAGAATGAGGGTGGATTTCCATGAGCGGCAGAAACAGTGACAGAGCTCCAACAATGAATCCACCAGGTCAGGTGGCCGATGGGAGCAAGAAAGCTGGAGAAATGATGATGCTAGACCACTCTGATATCTAGTTTTAAGGAAGGCAGGAAGTTATTTAGATGCTATTTTATTTGAAATGGCCTCCCTTCCACTTACAAACTTACCATCCACATTATCACTTCCGTCCTCTAGTTTTTATCTATTCATAGATTAATAACAATAGACAAATAAATTAATTCCATGTTTTGGGACTAAAATAATAAGACTCCTTTATTATAGTGACTGTTCCATAACATTGGATGGATGAAAAGTAATAAATAAATGAAGAGGGGGAAACCATATGGCATTACTTTAAAGCAGTGTTCCTCAACCTTGGCGACTTTAAGACGTGTGGACTTCAACTCCCAGAGTTCCCCAGACAGCCTGACTGGCTGGGGAATTCTGGGAGTTGAAGTCCACACATCTTAAAGCCACCAAGGTTGAGGAACACATCTTTAAAGGACCTATTATACAGTGCTGTTGATCGTGTGAGATAGACCCAGAAGATGGATACTAAAGACCATTTCTACATTGAAAGGTTGACATGAGTTCACCATTCAGATACCAGAAGAGCTATTGGGTAGAGAAAGGCTCACATGTTATAGAAAGTTAGATATTTGTGGAACATTAGAATAAACTTCTTCATGGCCAAGACTGGTCAAGATGGTACCATAATTTAGAAATTTAGGGGCTCCCCTTTTCTGGAGGTCTGTAAAGAGTGGACAGCCATCTTCTGGGGGTGCTGTAGCTGCTGATGTCCTATAGGGAGTAGGTGAGTGGAATAGATGGCCTCCACCAGGTTACATGCTTTGAATTTAGAAAAATCAAAGAAAAAATCTAGCCCCACCTTCTCTCCGCTGTGCAAACTCTGAAGGCAGAAACTTTCATGCTTTCGTTGGAAGAGTGTATCCTTTTCCTTCTCTATGTGAGTTTTTGGGGTTTTTTGGCATGCTTTCCACTAGAGAAAATTCAGTGTTTTCCTCTTTGTGTGTGTGTGTATGTGCCTACCCCACCTCACTCAGAATGTTTATTTCCATGTGCATTTTCCCATTCCTTTATGCAGTTGTATGCCTGTTCTGAGAACACTGCAACACTGTTAACAGCTCTGAAAGAAGTTGGCATCTTGGTGTGCATGTGTGTTTCTGGGGCATTATTTGGCAGATCCGAAATAGGCATTCTCGGGGTTTTAGGGGTCCCCCCTCCCAAAAAAGGTCTGCAGTTTCATATGATGCATTAGGAATTGTGTTAGTTTTTCTGGGGTGCAACAAGCAACTCCCCACCCCACCTCTTCTACTATACAATATACAACTCCAGGTCATGGTATAACCTAATAAATGCATTCACACAACAAAATAAGTTCCTTCTCCTTCTCCTTTTAGTGCTTTATGCAAACCCAGCCAATTTGATTAGTTTATGACTTAATGTTAAGTAATGATCATGCAACTTATTTCTCCATGCCTGTAACATTGGGATAAAAACATTATTCCTGACATCCTTCTAATCAAGTCCTGGAAACTGTTTTAGGACCATCCTGTGAATTGTATAGAATGAAAAAAATTCTCCAAGTGGTCATGGATGCAATCACACTACTTACTTCCCACTTTTTTAACATATAAAATAAAAACCTGCTAGATTCACATTATTATTGGCCAGTATCCATCCCATTTCCCCCTTTCAGGATTGCCAAATATAGGCCTTATATCTGTAATTAATCGAGACTTTTTCCATTTCTCTTTGGCTGCAAACTGCAGACAGTGTCTCTATTGACCCTATAAAGAAGCCAAATGAGTTTTATACAGTGGAACAGCCATTCAATAACAAAGAAGGTTTAATAGATTTAAAAAAAAAAAAAAATCTTTTCCAGAAAGGGCTATTCTGAATTGAAGCTTAAGTATTTTTGGCAAAACCCTGAAAGATCCTGGAAATGAACAGCAGCCTTATGTTTAAATTTTACATTCATTGCTCTGATTTATTTGAGGGAGGAGATGGAGTGAAAGAATTACAAGCTCTGTAAGTATGTAACAGAGGCCCTAACAGCTTTGGCCTGATCCACTGTGAAGTCATTGCAAATAAAAAAAAGTGAGTTCCCAACCATGTGTAACTTGGCAGTAGGACTTTCTGAAAGCGAAAGTTTTCAAAGTCATTGATATTTGCCAGCAAGACATATGTCTTCTCTAAAGAAGCTGGGGTGGGGGATAGGGAACCATGGGAATCTACACAGAGGGTTATGGTGCTAGCAATGCTGATTTGGATCTCCTTCCTGAGCCATGTGCAAAGTTCATGGGGAGAACATAGGCGCTCTCTGCCTGTTTCAGGTGACTAGATGACGGTGGGGAAACCCTGGAAGGCCAGTCAGCATGTAAATCTGCTATAACAGTTATGGTGTTTGTCCAGAACCAGAAATAACCAGCTTCTGCCACAGAACCCATGCTGGGCTGAGAAAGACTGAGCCACGGCTATAAGATTGGCGGAGAAATATTAGATCAGCTGCTCTAAGTTCTTGGAATAAATGGTTGTAACCATTCATCTCAACTTGATGAGACATATGTTCTCAGTCTGAAAACGTTCAATGTTCCTGGGTTAAGAAGATCTTGAAGAGAATCAGCTGAGCTTAAGATCTACCATCAATGAGCCCTGATTGGGGGAAAAAAAAAATTCTGGAAGTGTTCAGCATTCCATGCTGAGTTTCCATAGAGTAGCCAGCAAGAGCAGAACATAAATTTCAATTAAAAAGTCATCTCTCTCTTACTTTCCAGGAGTCATTTCCAGTGGCCTATTGCCCCAGCTCCATTTCCATTTTTAGATTTTCAATCTGTGGCTTTTGTCTAAAGCAAGATCTATCTGGTGCCTTTTGGGGGAAGCTCCTAGAAACAGCAATGAAATGAGAGAGATTATCTGGATGAGGAAGAAAAAACTGTGCGTCTCCATGCTTTATTTGTGTTTTGGAAAAAAAAAATCAATCCATTATTGTAAAATCACAATAAAAGCTTTATTTAGATTATTGGGGGGGGGGTAGGAACTGTGCCACAAAAGAGAAAGAAATTGTTTTATGATATCCCAGTTTCAATACTACACTGAGGCTGGCACAGGATGCAACCTCCTTCTTCCAGCCAGGGCCTGATTTTCCAGCTTTTGGACATCAAATTAGTTCACCCATCATTTGTTTGCTATCATTTCCTGGTTCCACAGCTGAAAGTTCTGGTGATGACTTGGACTCAACCTACCAAAGAAAAATGCTTTTTCCAACTCTTTCATTACAATCTTGGAGGTTGTGTCATAATGCAAACAGATCGCTTCCCGATTCATCTCTGATCCCTTCCTGCAGGTCAGCACGGTGTTGTGGTATTGATTTCACAGCAAATTAACTGACTCCATGTAATTTTAATTGTTGCAGGACCAAAAGCAGAGGCAGACCTGAAGCTCATTGTCGCATCTGAGTGGGATCTCTTCTTTTAAACATAAAGCAGCCCTTTGTCTATAAAGAGTGCTCTGAAGGAACTGAAGCTCAATATGGGTCTCTCTATGTGGGCCGTGGCCTTGGTGACCATCTTTTTGTTCCATCAAGATGCTAGTGGTGGACTCATCAAGAGAATTATTCGGCAGAAGAGGGAAACAGGGATCAATGTGACATTGCCAGAGGATAACCAACCTGTGGTCTTCAACCATGTCTACAATATTAATGTCCCAGTAGGCTCCCTTTGCTCTGTGGACTTAGACCCCTCCAGTGGTGACTCAGAACTCAAGTTTCCATCTGAGCCAGGCAAGCACTATCAGGAGCATACATTGAATGAAGAAAATCAGATTGTTTTCACTCATCGGATAAATATCCCACGACGAGCTTGTGGTTGTGCAGCGGCCCCTGACATCAAGGAACTACTCAACAGACTTGAGGAACTAGAAGGACTGGTATCTTCTCTGCAGGAACAGTGCAGTAGTGGTTCAGGTTGCTGCTCCAGTGGTCAAACAGTGGAAGGTAAGTCAGGGAAACCCGAAGCAAGGTGGAATGGAATAGAATGAAGGAACTAGAATTCCCAAACAGGAGTATTTTCCACTTAAACCCCATTGTAGACCCCATTTTGTTCATGTCTAAGTTGTATTTAAACTGCCTCCCTGAAACTCTCATTATCTTCAAGGATGAAACGTAAGTAAGTAATATGCAGAGCAACCGCTGTTTTGCTGCCACAAGACACTTAAAACCAGCTGACTTTCAGTAAGTTCCTGTGCTGCTAGGGATGCGAAAATTTTCTCCAGTGACATTTCAGTCATGAGCTTAAAGGAACTATTGACATACAAGAAGTGGCATTTAAAAAGCATGGAAAGATTGTCCAGGGCAGCTAATGTAGTTTGAAAATCTCTGTGGTATCTTCACTGGTACATTATTTTGTGTGCATTTGATAGCTAATATATATATATATATTTCTAGATGTTGAATTCTTTATACATTTTGTACACTGAATTCAACAATAGGCACTTGGGCAATTATCCAGAACTATATTATATATATATATATATATTATATATAATAAAATGAACATATTGTTTAGCTTCAGACAGGCAAATTTGTTATAGCCAGAGGGCTGCACTCGATTATTAAAGTTTTTTAAGAGGAAGAAACCAAATACCATAGTGATGTGATAATACCATTACAGAGGCATGGTGAACGTCTAAAAAAGTTTTTAAAGTAAAGTAGATCAAATTTGTCTATTGCTTAATATCATGTATTTCTTATTTTGCCCCAAATGTCCCCGTATCATTGCTATCTTTACAATTT